GTTAGCTCCTTAACCGTCTCAACTAGAATGTGGTACTGGTTTTGATTAAGTAATTGAGTGAATATAAAGCACTGAATACTGGTCGCGGATTCGCATCTCACTAATGAACTGTCTGGATGAGTTTCCCTGCTTTCTTCACGTATATAATATGAAATAGGAGCAGTTTCCCATGGAAAGTCCTTTCGAGAACACCACTCCTTGGCAGATCGCTCACTGTTGTAGCCTAATACTTCATCTCATCAAAACCAAATCTAAAATGACGTTAATTTCCTTTAGGAAAATTATTAGATTAAAATTCCAGCATTGCCTATTCTATAATTTATAATAATTAATGTTTTCTACATTATGTTAAAAGCTAAATATAATTAATTTCTATTCCAATTTTTATACAGTTCAAAGACATTAAAGCTAAAAATGAAAAAATATCTTTTTATAAAATTTAATTTTGTTTATGTTTTCTAAAACTGCAACACATATTTACATGTTAAATTGAAGTAATGCATGAGATAAAGCTATAAATGAAAACAGTCATTTGGTGGAAACATTAAATAATTTAGAAACGTATGTAGAGAAAATTGAAGAATAGGCCTAAATATGAACATTGTAAACTACCAATTAAATAAATTCTGATATTTAATAATTGTGAATATAGGTATGTAATGAAATTTTTATCTAAAATTTATAAATTAAATTTTACAATATTTTTATGGAGTTAAGCATTTTATAAATCAACATATAAGTTCAATATATTTTACTCTTCCTCTTCCATATTATATAGATGTTTTGATATACTGTATGACAACTCTTTGAATAGTTTTAATATGAAGAGTTGGATTGGATTGATGAAAGAAGGCAACGCAACGCCTGAGCGATTGAACTTTCTATGGGAAACTGATCCGTATTGAGTTTGAGTTATCTAGATTCGAGTTAACCAGGTTCCACTGTATTGTTACTTTTTCTCTCATCGTCTTATGGAGAATTAAGATACTTTTCAACTCGGTACTCAATAACTTTCTAGAAACGTATGTAATAATTAAATTAATAAGGGGAGACTATCCACATTTTTGATGAGATTACTTACTCTTTTTTTCTCTTATAGAATTATTGCAGAGAAATTTTGCATGTATTGTCAGGACGATCAGTTATTGGATGCTTTTCATGTGATAGCTAAATGTTCTAATTTAGAAAAAATTCGGAAAAGTGTGTTTGGTATTTCTATTATTCCGTTTGAGAATTTTCTGGACCTTATCAGTAATTTAAGTAATTTTGATTTAATTAATTTTGTTCATAAGATTAAATTATTTTTTAGGTAATCTTATGTTGATTTTATGTTATTTTAGTGATCCTTTGTACGGAGTGACTTACATTGTTGTTTGTTTTGCATATTGAAGTATTCAATTATCGTCGAAAGAATTGTGGCATTTGCTTCCGCTTTAAAAGCGTGATCGTGGATAAGAAGTATTGGGAGACTATCCACATTTTTGATGAGATTACTTATTCTTTTTTCTCTTATAGGTGGGGGTATCTATTGTTTATTTATAATGATGTTTTTTGTTTGGATAGTTCTCCCCATGATTTTGTTTTGTTATATGTTTATATTTGGATATGTTGTTTAAATATATATTTTGGTATTTATAATATTTGTATAATTTGTTTGTTTTATTTATGTAAATGTTAATTTTCTCTGTAATAACGGAAGGACTGTAATATATTTCGGTGTGTAATGTATGTAACAATTTTTTTTGTATTTCCCGCATCATGGGTTTTACTCAGTATGGCTAAATAAATTATATGTTTATTTAATTTAATTTAGCAGTTTTAATTCTAATTTACGTCACTTCTATGAAAATGGACAACTTGCACATGTTTATGAGACTTCAATAAGTATTTTCAGTCTCAATCGTTCATATTTTTAAAATACAGCGTGCTCTGTAAGTACAGAAGTATAGAAGTTATGTTAATCTTTCTTTATTCTTTTACAGGTAAACATGGCTCAGAGTAAGGAGGAACGGATTAGTTATTTTGATGATGGGAATCCGAGTCGACGAGAAGTTGCAGAAGAGTTTAACAGACTGCATCCAGAGTTCCCACCAATTACACACAACGATTTGGATTTCGACGACTTCGTGTTGACTGCCGGTTCCCACTATCAAAATAACTTAATTCGTTTCTCCTAATCAGCGCCAACCTGTAAAATATTAAACAAAGATCAACATAACTCATATGGTTACATAAAGTGTTGTTAATAATTTTCGTTTCTTGAAAATATGTATTTTTGCCTATGTGTCCAGACTTTAGTGACACCTTATAGTCCTTTTTTTTAATGTAGGTAATAACAAGACTAATTCAAAAAATTTAGTTTATAATATAATCATAAAAAAGACATAATATTTTTAAATTATTTAAAACATTATGATTTGAAGAGAGAAATTTTATTAAATTTGAAGTTATTTTAACGTGAAATCAGTCTTTATCTTAGAGTGTCGAAAAACATTTTTATAATTAGACTTCCAGTGAAGAAAATATTGATCTTAAAGAATTAATAGTAATATTTTAAGCAAATCATTCATTTAATGAATGGGAAGATTCCGCATAAATTATTAAATTACTTATTTAGTAGCACTTACAAATAAGATTAACACATTCAATTTACACTAAGATGAAAGCTTAAAAGGTATTTTTCCTAACATTTCTACCCAACGGGATATTTGAGACATGTTAAGTATGCTTTAAATTATTTTTAATACTTAAAATATTTTTTATGCTTATAAACTTCATTAATAGATAAACCTTCCAACCTTCCTTTTGAAATTTAACTTATATGAAACTTGGTCGCAGACAATTTTTATATCATTAAGCAATTGTTAGAATGTGAAAAGAAAATTTCTATTGTGTTTTCTATAAAGGAAATTTATGAAAAGATTTTTTATAATAGCTTACTTTAAATATATAAAAAAATATATAAAATTTTTGACATATAAACTAATTAAAGTGTGTAGAAATTATAATTTGCTATAAATTCTAAATCGAAATTAATTATCATAATGAAGCGAATTATTCTTAACAAAAAGATTGAAAAAATGATTGCCTAAAGGGAAATTATCTTGTAAAAATCGTCAGGAAGAATTTTAAAAAATTATAATCAGGGATCTTTTTCATTTTTGGCTCCTTTCGCTCCATAGACACTAAGAGAGACTTTTCCCATACCCAACTTGGTTTGGCCAGGCACTACGATGATGCGATCGGATGGCGAGAAACGGGACCCGACATATCCGGGAATGACAACCCATACTGTACAATTCCTGGAGTTCTCTCTGATTTGGTCCCGGTTCCCTAGAGCTCTAGGTCGACGCCTTAACTGTCTCAGCCATCTGAATTGAGAATAATATGGGTTGGCAAAATGTATCCTTATATGACTGTATTAATTTTCAATGATGAAGACAAAATCATAACAATCGTCGAATTGCTTATAAGAAAAAAACTTCATGTAAGCAAAAATTCGAACAATATTTGTTTTACACACGATAAAGCATATTTATTTCAGGTTATTATTTTCAATCAAATTGAAAACATCATTGTCTCAAATTTAGAAAAAAAAAATGAAGTTTTCTACGTATAGTCGTAATCTAAATTTTTACAAAATATTTATCGGATTTGTCTAATCGACGAACTGCAATACGGCTCAGTGCTTTAATCAAAACTATAAGAAAAGCCGATCAATCAAATTAATCAAAGCAATAATTTCCTGGATATTCATTTCATATAAAAATTTACAAAACAATCCCTTAACTTAAAAATTGTAAGACAACCATATGCTTATTGGAACTGAACACTAAAAAGACACCTAGATGGTCTGCTATAGACAACGACCAAGCTCGTCTAGGTGTCTTTATTGTTGTATGAGGCTCCTGCTAGCTCCCTAGATCAGTAGACTAGCAAGGGATCATATAGGCCTATACAAGAACCTCGTCGCTACTGCTATATGTATTGTGTTTGTAGGCTCCGTTTTTAACTTGCGTTATCTTTGGTCTTTTTTACGATCGGTGAGTGTACTATATATCATTTTGTTGCTGTTGACGTGCGCTTTCCAACGCCGTCTTACTTTTTAAAATCGGTTTAGACCTTCGGGTGTTACGGGCTTTATTTGGCCGAGACCACGTGGTCGAACTTCGGACGGTTTTCTCTTTGACAAATTCATGTCGTACGTTTTTATGTATTACACCGCTGTGTTCACCTTGCTATCCCGATTCGATCGATATTTTATTTATTAATTTCCGATATTTATTTCGCTAGTTTCAGCGACCGTTACTTGCCGACTTTCGGCTGTTTTTTTTGGCCATTGTATTAGGCCATTGGCTCTGCTTTCTTGTTAGTCTTTAGGAAGGGTTAGTCTGTTTATCGTATTAAACTTTCGTATAAATCGGAGCAATACTTTTCGAATTATTGCGCCGAAAAGGCACAAAGGATGGAGGGTCAACGTTTTTCCCCACGTGGCTGCTGATCCCCGTCCTGACCCTAATTCGGTCGTTTGCATCGCTCGCCGCTCCGTTCTTTTGAGTCTTTTGACGACAGTTTTTGCTGGTTTTGGTTCACTTTGCTTTTCTGGTAACGCCATCGGTTTTGCTATTTCTCTGAACTTGGCCAGCTGACTCCTCGTGAGCTGCTCTCCAGTTGTCCTTGCTGTCATCACTCTCGGTCCACACCTCTTGGCTACAGCGACGCCATCCCACTTCCTGGCCTTCTCGATTGTCGCATCATGAAACTTTCATGCTTTACCAATTGTCCCCTCCATAGACCTTTGGATTACTCAACTGTTTTCTGATTGTTCAAGCTGGGGTTGGTGAGTTTCACTTTTTGCTTTCAATCCAACCAGTTTTCTTTCCCTTCTACCCAAGTTAGATTCAATCTTCTGGGGCAGAGTTTTACTGCCATCAGGCCTCTTTATTCTTGCAATTACACTACATTCTCCTGGCTGGTCCCTTACACCTTCCATCTCTACTATGTCTCACGTGAATAACTTGACTCAAATTGGATCGGCTACCAGTAGCAACGGATCAACCAATGTTTTGGAGGACAAAATCCTAAGCGAAGCAAACCAACATTTTATGAGAATTCTGAACCTATTGCCAGAAAAATATGGCAATAACATCAGAACAAAAGAGAGAAAAGAAGTCCGTGAAAGAGTTATGCGATTGTTCTCATGCTTGGAGCAATTCCATGGTATTCTACAGGAAGCCCGCACAACCTCACAGAAGAGTCCTACAACCAATGTTTCAACTAACCTACCTGTCTCCTATGCAGATGTGACAAAAATGAATACTAGGCCCACGTCTACAACTAGGACCATTAATAGATCTTTAAAGAGTAAATTGGACAATGAGGGCAGCGGGGGAAGTGTTGCCCTCATATTGTATCCAAAGACAGATGTAGAGGGAGAAACTATTAACATGCAACAGATAGAAAATAGCATAATAAAGAAAATCAAACCACATGACCTGAAAATTCAAGTGAAGGCAATAAAGAGAGTGAAAGGAGATGGCATCTGCTTCAGAACCAACTCGCATAAGGATGCCGAAACTCTCTCCAACGCAATTGAAAAACTTCCTGAAGTATCAGGTAAAATCAAGGGAAAAATTTCTGAGGGAAGACGCCCTAGAATAATATTGAATAATGTACCCATCTCCGTGGACGAACCAGACCTCATCCCAATGGTATTTGATCAAAACAAGGCCCTCCAGGTTGTTCCTAGAGAAGAGTTCATACAAAACACACGGATCAGCACGGTCCTCTATAGAAACAGTGCAAAAGAGAACTGTAGACACATCATTCTGTCTACAGCTCCTAGGATCAGGGACGCCTTCGTTAGATCCAAACATATAGCGGTGGAATGGACAAACATATTCGTAAATGATTACATCCCACTGGTGAGATGTTACCAGTGCTGTGGGTACAACCACATCTCAACCAGCTGTCCAGACAAACAAAAATGCAGCCACTGTGCAAAAGGGCACAGATTTGCAGATTGCCAAAGACTGAATCAAAACCCTACCTGCACCAATTGCAAGGCTGCCAACAAAGGCCTCCTCGCTCACGAAAAATTGCCGACGGATCATAATGCCTTCCATCCCCAATGTCCAATCACTCAAAAAATGAAGTCACAGACCATACGCCAAACTAACTATGGGCTCTAGTAATCCTACAACTAACTCAAGGATCCCTCTTATTCACCAACTCAACAGCAGTATTTTCTCCAATCAGAACCACTCTCTTCACAGCAATAGCAACTATCACCATCAGAACACTATCTCATTGATCCAGATTAATCTCCAGAGGGGCAAAGCCCCTTCGTCACTTGTTATTAAAACCGCTGAGGACTGGGGATCAGATATGCTTATTATTCAAGAGCCTTACTTATATAAGGGAGAGCTAACGAATTATGGCAGCTGGAGGGTCTTCCCTCCCAGAGGTTCGAAGGCGACCACCAAAACGGCCATTATTGTCAGGAACCCCAGCCTTAATGTTCAGTTTATGCCTCACTTAACTACTCCATATGCCACCACCTGTGTTATCAACAGCAATAATAACAGCATTTTTATCACCTCCATCTACTGCTCCCCGTTCGAGGACATTAATCTTATGCTGGACGACCTGGATGTGATCAGCAGGACTGTTGCCGACAGGCCCTGGCTTATCTGCGGCGACACCAACGCCAAGTCCTTCCTGTGGCACAGCCCCATCGAGGACCCAAGGGGGTACAGGATGCAGGAGTTTGTGGCGGCCATGTACCTTACTTCCTGCAATACCAGCCCCCTATCCACCTATCACTCTACCAGGGGCGACAGCTGGGTTGATGTATCACTGGCAAACATCCACATGGCCCCTTGCATCTCCCTCTGTACCACTTGCACTGAACCCAGTGCAAGTGACCACCGTTATATCAAGATAAACATTCAATTGGATACCACTCTTGCTAATGCCACCACCTACCACCATACTAACTGGCTCTTCTACCAGAATCTTATTCGTGATAACTGGAGTGTCAACGCTGCTATAACCAGCATGCATGAAGATGATATTGACAACTGTATACAAAGTCTTACCAACCTCTTGACACAGTGCTACCATCTAGCCAGCAAGGAAAAGACAAATTCTAGCACCAATGCCCCTTGGTGGGACTCTGAATTATCCAACCACCGCAGAGAAGTTAGACGGCTCCGTAAGATCTATCAGCGGCATCAAAATGCTTATGACAGGGCCCTACACAAAAATAACTATACCAGGAAATTCAACGAGTATAAAACGCTCATCAATAGGAAGCGACATCAAACATGGAGGCAGTTCTGTAATAAATTCAATAACCCATGGTGTGAGCCATACTATGTGGCATTCAAGAAAAGGCAAAGGGCAGACATTCCTGCAGCCATTAAAAAAGCCGATGGCAGCTACACAAACACCCTGGACAATGCACTTCATGAGCTTTTCGCTTACCACTTTCCTCTGGACGAACCCAATAATGATACGGATGCGCAACGTGCAATCCGCAACAACTCTAACAGCCCAGTTCTCCACGCCGACGATCCGCCGTTTACCTTTAAAGAGATTAGCCACGCTATTAACCTGATTAACATCAGGAAAGCTCCGGGATTTGACCAAATCAACGGGAAAATGCTAAAAGAAGCCTTTTCCGCAATTCCAGTAACCTTCATGGCAATCTACAACCGCTGCCTCTCTTTGGGATACTTCCCTAAAGCTTGGAAAGTGGCGTCAATTAAATTCATCAAAAAAAGTCCGGACGATAGCACGTTGCTCCCCAAAAGCTACAGGCCTATTAGTCTTCTTCCTGTCATAGGCAAGGTCCTCGACAAGATGGTCATAACAAGAATTCTCACTTCTCTAAGAAGAAGAGGTGCCCTCAGCGACCATCAGCATGGTTTCACGCCGGGGAAATCTACCACTACGGCCCTCACAAATATTGTTGATTATATCAGGAGTGCAAAATCTGCGGGCAGGCACACGCTTATGGTTTCCATTGACTTTCGCGGTGCCTTTGATAATCTCTGGTGGCCAGCAATACTCAACCAACTTCAGGCACACAATTGTCCTAGGAACCTCTACTATCTTATCAAAAGTTTTATCTACGACAGGAGGGCTGGTTTCTTCTCGAATAACTATAGCTATACCCACCATGTCACTAAGGGTTGCCCGCAGGGCTCTGTTGCAGGCCCTGGCCTATGGACCATTGTGCATAGTGATCTGCTCACAACCATCAACAACACAACTGGCAGTCACCTCTTGCAGGGCTATGCCGATGACACGGTCCTTCTGGTGTCCGATAAAAACAGCAACAACTTACCTATCATGGCTAATGACCTCCTTACCAAAATCTCTAGCTGGAGCTCTGGCGCCAACCTCCCAATAAACCATGCAAAATGTTCTTACATTATTTTCTCAAAGAGCTTTCCACTGCAACGTAGCCCTCGTATCGAGATTGACGGCATACGCATACCCCGTGTTAAGGACTTCAAGTATCTTGGGGTTATTCTGGAGCAACAGCTTCAGTGGACTAACCACATCGATATGGTTGTTGCCAAAGCCACAAAGACTTCAAATGCCTTGATCAGCATCGCAAGGAATACCTGGGGCATTGGCTACAATGCAGCTAAACTCATCTATCTTGGTGTCATTGAACCAATCCTCCTGTACGCAGCTCCTATCTGGGCTGAGGCCACCACCAAGATTTACATTCAGAAAAAGCTCCTCAAAGCGCAAAGGGTCGCTGTCCTTCGCATCTGTAGGGCCTACAGGACCGCTCCAACCTCTGCACTTCTCGTTATCGCGGGGGTGCTCCCGGCCCACATTAAGGCCAGGATGGCCTCTAGGCTGTGGAAGATTAAAAACCTCTTTACCAATGACCAGCCAAACGCCAACCACAATAATGATGTTATTGTGTCGGACCTGCCCACGCATCTAAAATCAGACATTCTTACTTTTGGCATCGAGCTTAAAAACATTGACCTCAACCTCCATCAAGATTACCCAACAATAACCAACGATCCACCTCCGACCAATGGAACCAACGACATCTCCATCTATACTGATGGCAGCAAAGATAATACCAACGTAGGCGCTGCCTTTGTCCTATACAACCATCGGAAAGGCGACATGCACAAGTCAGCCTACAAATTGGGCCCTCATTGCTCCGTTCCCCAGGCGGAGATTCTAGCCATCACCAAAGCGCTGGAACACATATACGAGGACTGGTTCCCCTCAAATAAATCTGTTACTATCTTCACGGACAGTACCACCGCACTCCACTCAATCACTGGGCTTCAGCTAAGAGGCAATAATACACTTAGGATCCACCACCTTCTCTCTGCTAACACCCACAAGCACAAAACGTCCTTCCACTGGGTTCGCGGCCACTCTGGTGTCACTGGCAACGAGGCCGCGGACCAGCTCGCCAAAAAGGCAGCTACGTCCTCGCTCCCGTCTAGTTATAACAGGATTCCGTTTTCAACGATCAAACAGTGGTACTACCAACTCGCCCTTCAGGAGTGGCAGAACGACTGGAATAACAGCGATACGGGAAGAACAACTTTCCAATTCATCCCTAATGTGTCACAACGCCTCAATTGGAAGCACTTCACACCCTCCTTTGCCATGACCCAGCTTCTTACAGGTCATGGCAATTTCAATGCCTATCTACAACGCTTTCGACTAAAGGACTCAGATGTGTGCACCTGCGATAGCACCTCAAAACAGGACAACCTGCACTTTCTCTTAGACTGTGAACTTTTCAGGCAAAGTAGAGACAATCTCATTAGTAGCGTGCTTCATGCCGGCTTCAACTGGCCTTGCCCCCTCACTACTCTCATTGAGAACAAAGACATCTTCAGGTGGCTTCGGAAGTACCTCCAGACGACAGCGGCTCTAAACCCACCAAGAGACCAACCCGCCACTACATGCAACAGCCACAGACCGACTTAAGCAAGCCTCCCTGCCTTGGTCTGTGTCCTGCAGCTTGGTTTCTTCCCATATCTTCTAAAAATGATACACTTGGTTTGGACTTCGTACAACCCTGTTCGCTAATGTTTTACTTCCTGTACTCGGCTTATACTTGTAACCATCACCGCTCATCACCTCGCAGTCTTATCGTTACTACTTGCTCTTTAATGTTAGTTGTCTTGTAATAGCAACTTGTAATTATACTGTCATCATCGTTCCTACCTATAATCCCTGTTGCATCCTACATCATCTGCAATGTATATCATCTATGTTCTTCATATGTCCCTGTCGGTTTATACTCTCTTCTTAATGTAAATATTCAATTCAATGTATCTACTTAATCGCGCCAATCTTGTACACGGTATCATTTATTGTATGTTATTCCAGCTGTTTTCATTTTTTGTAACTTTGTCTATTTCAATCTTTGCGATGCAGGCGTCATGAGCCCTCTTCTTCATTCTACCCCATCCTCATCCCCTACCCTTCATCACTCTCCCTCTTCCTTCCGAACTTTTCCAACCTCCAGGTTATACCTTTGAGTGATACCTGGAGGACTCCCCTCTTCTTTTAATAATAATAATAATAATATACAAGAACCTCTAAACCATTTCTTACAAATTATTTTTAATTGAGTTTCTTGTATATTGAGATTTAAAAATAAAATAAAACACATTTTTTGCCAGATTTTATTATACAATCGTCATTTGTTAAATTTTAATACAGTCGACCCCCTATATCACGGGTTCATATAGTTCGGATTCCTATATGACGGCGAAAAAATTGCGACAGTATTCGTACAAACGCGCTAAAAAACTCGTATAATTCGGTAAAACGTCATCGCGACAGGATTGGTCGAATTTAGACCAATAGCGGATATTGTATAAACCGTTGAGTTTAAACGAGCAGCGGATCTACTAAAAACCATTTATTGTTTAACGTCCATAAAAATGATATTTATATTAATGATGTCTCCAAAGTTCAGCGAATTTTTCGCAAAAAAAATAATTTATCAGGAAGCACGCGAGCGCCATTCGATGACAAGCTCCACGACGAAAACAAGTTTAAGCAATGGCGTCGTCGAACGGTGCACACTCGGTAAGTAATCCTACAATTTTTTGTTTATAGTATAGTTTATATGGATTACATTAATACTCCGAACTTACGCAATAGGTGGGACCGAGCGATA